CACGAATAAATATATAAATATTGCAACAAACTATTCCATTTCTGATCTTAGAAATTATCCTCAAAAGTATTTAAATAAAAGAATACTACTCAGTAACAAGGTATGCTTACTATCAGGAACCCAATTAAATGATAACAACAAAGTATGCAAAGCATCACTACCCATCTCAATGTAACACAGGGTAGCCTCTCAGCAACACGACCTTCCCTGCCTACAGTAGATGAATACGCCAACAGGCATAGTAACGACAGTGAGACCCTTAGAATTACAGACTGTTATGCCTCTTAGTCGCCTTTATTTATTCGTATTTCCTTTTATTTTTTTTACCCTCATTCCCAACTATATAATAAAAACAAACGCTGCGTGTGTCCCCCTTAGCAACAATTAAAATACATCATACTAAGACTGTAATTATTTTTTAGTTTAAAGTTTTCATTTCATTACCATTACTCTATATCACCCCGTGTATGTCGTAAGAGGCGACAGAGGGAAAAAAGTCAGGAGATGGACAGCATCGTCTCCCTTATAACGAATCAAAATAAATAACTGCGGTTGCCATCCCGCTTGCCAAGCGACTAAAGCAACTATGGCCAATGTCGCCCCTATGAAGCAATCTATGTACAACAGTGGACTTTAATAAGCTGAAACGATAACGGAACAACCTACCTTTGGATCATTAATAAAATTAGTTGATTGTTAAAACTGCCATAAAGTGATAGTACATTTTATGCAATTATAAAAGTAAACTACTGAATAAGAAAATGTAAACCTGACGAAATAAAGAAATCCCATCAAAGAAGAAAAGTAACAATCCAAGTATCGTAGTATTTAATTCAGTTGATTTACTGCAAATACGAGTATTAGTAATGTAGCGTGTATTTATCGCACGGGGCATACAGCATTACCACATAGAGTTCGTATGGTTCAAGCAGCATCGTGAATAAATACTGAATGCCGTGAGCTGGGAAAATGTTATAATTGCCTACAGGTCTGGGATGACCTCCCCTTAATTCCCTTTATTAATAAGCCGACCCTTGAAAGTTTTTACGCTGTATCAATACTTAAATTTTTCCCACTTGGAACAAAATGCCTTAAATAGTTAAGACTAACGGTTTTGATGCTGACGATACAATTTTATGTAATCAACATAGGTAGCTTAAAATGTGATTTTGGTATTACAGGATGCATTAAGCTTATTTGTGATACGAAAATTGCGAAAAATAGTTATATTTTTAATTTAGACCTATTGTTGGTAATTTTGGGTAAAGACTGTGTAGGCATTAAAGTTAACAAAATAAAATAATTACTTTTTCCAGAAATTAAAATTACTTTACATTAAGTTACCTTACCTTAACTTTTACCCTTTAACGGAAAGCATGAATACCAGTTAACTTAGAGCATAAACGTCTTATTTAGCATATTATATAAAAGACGTCTAAACCATAAATAATATTTTTTTTTAAATGAATGATGATGTTCGGCAGCCAGCTTTTTACATTGATCTGGCTTAATTTTTTGTTCTATTTTATGCATTTGAATGACCCAGATGTCGTCATTGGTCCGACCAGAAGTCGCTCTCGAGCCTCTTCACTACTGGGATCACTCATTTGGTTCCTAAAGATCGGGATACCACAGAACCAAGCAAATATCGCCCTATCACATGTCTACCCTCTATATAGTATTACGAGTTTAATGCACGCTTGATTAAAGTGCTCAACAGTCTTTTGGCGGGCATGAATAAGATACACGCATGTAAGGGTAAGGTCATGCCTGTCCTCATTTATACCTTCGGCATACTCAGGTGGACTCAGACCGAAGTGAACGCTCTGGATAGAAAAGTCCGCGCTGTTATGACGTCCCACAGAATGCGTCATCCGAAATCGTCAGTAATGAGGCTGTACTTGCCGCGGAAAAATGGTAGGCGCGGGGTTTTTTCCGCGCTCTCACCAAGCATAATCGCGAAGTGTGCAGCCTCCGTAATTACTTTCTGGCGAGATCGGATGATCCATTCTACAGGAGTGTCATTTCGTGTGATAAAGGGCTTACACCTCTATTCTTAGCCAACGAGCAATGGCAAGACCCAGCAATACAGTGCATTTCCGACCGTGAGACCGTATGGAAGGAGAAGGGGCTCCACGGGAAGTTCTACAAGTCTCTACATGTGGGGTGAATATCTGTAGTCGTTTCTGCGAACGGGTTAATCCCAGTCAGCCCGTCGGGTCATCTGAGGCGACTGGGACTCCGTGACGGACCGCTCCAAGCTTAAATGCAGAAGGCGGTGCTCCTCGATACCACCCGCATCGTCCGGCTGTTTCTTTCCATTTCCCCTAACCCTTGCCGTTTGGTCTCCCCTGCCGAGGGCTTCCATCTGGTTGAATTTTCATTTATTTTTGTTATTTTTTATGTATGTTTATCATTTTCATTTACAGCTATATATTTAAACAGCCCAACCTGATGAGAAAACTTTAGAGATTTTTTTTATAGGATAGGGGTGACAAACGAGCACGCAGTCCACCTGATGGTAAGTGGTTGCTGCGGCCCATAGACATCTACATCTATCCTCTGTTACGAATCAAAATGTAGATGCGTTGTCACCCGTGAGGACTAAGATGGAATGCCTCATTTCCAGTAAAAATGGCCTCCGGCCACCTGCACTCACCAAGCGAAACGCAACGGTAAACCTCTACTTCACGCTGGTTTTCTGTGAGGTCGTGGTACTACCCCCGTTCGAGCCGGCCTGTTTAACCCAAAATAATAATATAATATAAAATAATAAATGAGATAACCCAAAATAATAATAAAGAAAAAACTATCTGGACCTGGCTCACGAGGTAATAGACATGTAGGGTGGACTGCCGACCGATATTATACCTGTAGTCGTTTCTGCGAACCGGTTAATTCCAGTCAGCCTCTCGGGTCATCTGATGGACTCCGTGACGGATTGTTCCATGCTCAAATGCAGAAGGCGGTGCTCTTCGATACCGCCTGCATAGTTCGCCGGTTTCTTTCCCTTTCCCCCTAAACCTCGGCCGTTTGGTCTCCCCTGCCGTGGGCTTCCATCTGGTGGGTTTTTATTTATGTATGTATTTTTAATGTACTTATTTTATATATTTATACAGCCCAACCTGATGTGAAAACTATATAGATACCCCACATAATAAGGCCTTTATTTTACCATGCAATTTTATAAAATAATAAAAAAATTGTATAAAATAAAAAAAATGTATGTATGTAATACATTTTTTTTATTTTATACAAAAAAACAAAACTCCAAGTTGTTGTTGTAGACATGGCCCCGCTCCAGATATTGGTCTGCTCCAACTGTTTCCATTTGTTCCTGTTTTGCACTTTCAACATCCAATCTCTACCGGCTATTCTTTGAATTTCATCGATCCACCGATCTTTAGGTCTCCCTTTACTCCTTGTTCTGCTTGGGCCCATCCATTTGGTGACTCGTTTCGTCCATCTTTCGTCTGTAATCAGGGTTATGTGTCCCGCCCAACTCCACTAAGGCTGTTGGGTGTGTTGTCCTGCGTCTATTAATTACTTTTCCTGCGAATATCCTCGCTCTTAGGTTTATCAAGGGGCTTAATGCTTGGGATTCTTCGTTCCATAGCGCGCTGGCACGATCGTATTTATTTTTTTATTTTCTTTTGAAAAAACCAAGTTTGTGCTCCATATAACAGACAAGGCAGCAAACACGACTCTATTACCTTTTTTTGAGCTTTAGTGGGAGTTTTGCTTTTAAGATTTCTTTGAAGCTCCAGTAATTCCTCCATGTCATGTTAATACGGTGGTCTAGTTCGAATTTGTGTCTTGATTTCTTGAAACCAATTTTTTTCCCAAGATATTAATAGCTGCACATATACTCTATAGCTGTTTAGTTTACTATTATTTGTCTTTGTATACTGTTTGTAGTAACTTTTGTTTTAACGTATTCAATTGTAAGCCTATTTTTGCTGGCGTTGTTTAGTTCTACCATCATTGTTTCCAGCTCCTTCAATGTTTTTGCAAATATGACGATATCATCTGCAAATATTAGGTTACTTAGGAACTCTGTATCTATTTTAATTCCTTTTCTACTTCAATCTAGATCTTTCATAATGTCCTGTAGCATGGCTATAAATATCTTTGGAGACAACGGATCTCCTCTTTTAATGTAAATTTTTGGTCTAAATTTGTCCAACTTTACCCTGCTTGTACTGTTCTTGTATATATCTTTGATAATATTTATATAAGTTTCTGGAATACCTTGGCGTGAAAGCGCTTGCCATATGCTCTGGTATGAAATTGAATCAAATGCTTTCTCATAATCAAAGTATGCGAGGTAGAGCGGCTGATTAAATTCTTGATATTTTTCTACTACTTGGTCTAGCGTGTGGATGTGGTCGATAGTAGAATAGCCCGACCGGAATCCAGCTTGCTCTACTTGGTTGGTTTATCTCTGTTCTTAGTGATATTTTTTCCAGACACATTGCAAATAATTTGTACATTGTTGGCAACAGGTTGATAGGTCGATAGTTATTAATATCTGAGGAATTTTCCTTTTTATATAATAAAATTATTCGAGACTCTCCCCAGCTTTTAGGAAATTTTTGCACTTCTAGTATTTAATTAAACAGAGTCGTGATAGGACCTATTAGAGTTTTATTTCCAATTTTTAAGGCTTCATTAGGACCTGGGCTTTTTTATTTTTTTTTCCAATATATCTCTGCAGTCAAAAGGCGCGGTGGGTGTATTGAATTGTATTTCATATTTTTGTACTCATTTTCATCGCTTCGTTCACCCTGGTAGAGATTATTTAAGTCTGTAGCAATGTTTATTGTCTTTTCACGTTTGTAATTTACCTGTAGAATTCTGTGCTTTCAATGTGGGTATCCATTTGTTCCCAGTATTTAGTTGTTTATAGGCTTCCTTTTGGCTTCCGATGGTTTTTAGATTCTTTTCGATAATTTCAATTCTGTAGTTTTCAATCCACTACGTAATTATAACTAAACCTTTTGGTTATTCCAAAATCAGAAACTACTGCAAACGCGTATAGTTTAACTATTGATGAACATAAATATTATGATGCGATTCACTAAATTATAACATAAGCTTACTATTTAAGATATATTAGTAAAACCATTAACATTTTTAATATTAAAAACAAAAAAATACTAATAGATTCTGCTATACAGTGTATCAGCAGTATTAAGAAATATGAGGATCTTATACCTGTGCTATCATTTATTTGTTATATTTATTAAGATGGAAATTAAATTGATTCCATGAAAGCTATATACAATATTGACCTGATGATGAAGACTGGGTTGTAATTGCATGGAACTATAACAGTGCTTGTACAAATTGTACAACCACTGTTATGGTCCCATGCAATTAGCTACCACCTTGAATCATTAAATTGTTTTTTATTGGGTTAAAAATTTTTTACCGATAATGTCATATATGACATTATTGGTAAATTTTAGAACATCGTTAATCAGTTCTTTCCTTCGACAAACTACATGATTCCTCCATTTTTCACTAATCTATAATTTACCCCACTAAAATTAAACAGAAGAATGAAAATCTATTTTATAATATATTTCTTCGTTTTTGAGACATTCTCACCATATTTATTAGACTGGACAGACAACAAATTAATACCATACGTGTTCCGTTCATGTTTAAATTTTGCACGGAATGCCAACGTTCATATTTATAATCAAAATATAAAAAAAATATCATCAAAATAAAAATTAAGAAAAATTACCGATTAAATCGCTAAAAAATATTTTCATTTCCAATTAGACCCGTAACAGGGAGCAACGTAAACATCTAGTACTTCAACTACTAATTTCTCCCAAGATCAGCAGTTAGTAATGACAAATGAAACCTGGTCTCGAGACACTGTGACAGCACTGCGACGGTGCTGGAGGCAGTAAGTACTAGTCCCGGGACATGCTTTCATCAAAGCAAAACAAGAGAGAGGTTGTGTTGCGGTAGCGTTTCTATCGGAAAAACCGGGACTCCTAGTATACTCTGATGGAGACCAAGGAGAGATTTTAGCCGGTATAAGTCCAGCATAATATATCCGTAGCCCCGCAACGGCAGGTATAAATGAGGATTTCTCAACGATAAACAAAAGACTTGTATCTATCCTTAATCTGTCTAGAAGCTGATGGTAATGATGATGACGTAGAACATTAACTGTCTATGAAAGAAAAAAAACCTTGATACAAAATAATATTAATACAAAATATATTACATTTTTGTTTATCTATGCATGACTAAACCATTCTGTGTGTTTTCAGTTGAGTTGTAAATTAATTCTGATAGAAGGTTAATTTTTGATGCAGGAGGAATGAGTATTCAATGGAATTCCCTTTAATTTCAATAGTTACTTATTATTAGTTTATTTAGCAGTTAGTAGATGGCGCTGAGATTAAAACTATGAAAATTAAAACTGTACGCTCTAGTACTCAGCGACAATAAGTTGAGGTGTGACTGGGGTGGCCCAATCACACTACAAAGCCACCAACATTTATATAATACATAAATTAGGCATAAAGTGATGTAGATTCTATAAAAAATATTTTACGATATAACAATATGAAGAAGTAGCAATGTTTTGTTTAGTTTTTAATATCAGCAAACGATCTCCATTTAATATAGTCAAGCTAATCATGATATAGTCAAAAAACAATGTGAAATTTAACGATTTCTTATATTTACGCGAACACTACACATTGAATAAAACTATTTTTTACGGATTTTATCGCGTTTAATTTGTTACTTTAACTCCCGACGTTTTGGGTGCTTTACAGCAACCCATGGTCAGGGGGGCATTGAGATATTTGACGTCCCGATGTCACAGTTAGCCCGGCTACCTTCATTTATTTTAATATTAATTTTTGGTTCGATTTACGCAAATTGAACTTACAGTATCTTGAAGTCTTGCAGTGGTATGCTTGGTTTTGGATTTAATTTTGTTAATTATAGGATCTCAAGCAGATGGCAGCACCCATCCATCTTCTCTATTGAGGTAGGTTCCTTGGTAGGAATTGGTGTTCTTTTGCGAGAATTTATGTTCTATCAAATCTGATGTAATGGCGGGGATGATCTTGAACGTGTTCACAGTCTGCAGACTTCCCAGAGCGTCGGTGCTTCACGTTAGCTATATTTTCTTTCACGCGGGTTTTAATGGATCTTTTTGTTTGTCCTATGTAAGAGAGACCACATTCGCAATCAAGCTTGTACACTCCTGCATCGGAGCGGAAGAGCGTAAAGACAGGGCCGTGATCCGCGGCGTCTCTTTTGATCTCGCCAACGAGGACATCCTTGAGGACCTTAAGTCCCAAGGATTCCCCGTTGAGGCCGTGCACGAAATGCACAGCAACAAAGCCAAGAGCTTCCCGCTTGCCCTTGTGATCCTCACAAACGTCCCAGAGGCCTCAGCCATCTTCCGACAGGTACGCACAGTGTGCGGCCTGTCGAAATTGAGGGTTCAGCCCCCACACAGGCGTGGTTTTCCGGCACAGTGCCACCGCTGCCAACTTTATGGTTATGTGGCTGCTAACTGCTCTGCCCCACCCAGGTGCAATAAGTGCCTAGACCCACACAGCTCGAAAGAGTGTCCTCGGCCTCAAAACGTCTATTCTCCCCCCACGTGCGTCCTGTGCCAGCAATCAGGCCACCCGGTGAACTAAAGAGGCTGCCCTTGCGCACCTCATCCTCGTCCCAGCAGGCAAGCAGTGGTAGAGCCACGCGGCGGCTTTTGCTGTCGCACGGATGGGCCGGCTTGAACCGGGGTGGTACCACGACCTCACAGAATACCAACGTGAAGTAGAGGTTTACCTCTGCGTTTCGCTTGGTGAGTGCAGGTGGCCGGAGGCCCTTTTTACTGGAAATGAGGCATTCTATCTTAGTCCTCACGGGTGACAACGCATCTGCATTTTGATTCGCAAACGAGGATAGATGTAGATGTCTATGGGCCGCAGCAACCACTTACCATCAGGTGGACTATGTGCTCGTTTGTCACCCTTGTAAAAAAAAAACTACACCGCCGGTCAATGATAGATTATTCCCGGATCTCTATTTAAGAATGCCCCATCAGGGCCTTTCTCAGCCCCTTCAGGGCACCTCTCGACCCACTCTGGGTCCCCCAAGGTCCCCTCAGGGCCCTCTTCGGCCCCCACCGGGATTCTCCCAGCCTTCGCAGCCTCTGGTCTTCCCCTGGGGCTCCAAGAAGGCCGACCTTGCGCGGACATCCTCCGCCCCTCAGAAAGCACAACCCTCAATGGTTGATGACTTAAATATGGTTGACGGATCATCAACATTGGGGAGGTTGCCGTCCTAGTACGCAAATCGCACGCTGCTCAGTCCCCTCAGGACCATCTCCTTGCTCTTGCAGAACATCACAATTTTTTGTGCTCCCTGTAATTTTAATTTATTTAATTTTAGTTAAATTAAATAAAATAAATTAATAGTTACATTATACAGAATGGGGTCCATATATGCAATAAATGAAACCACAAGTAATAATAGTCCATAGAAGTGTAGAAAAATTAAATATTAAATTAAAACCCGTAAAATAAAAAAGTGAAATTTTCAAACAAAATAAATATTAAAATAAATTCAGTAAAAGTAAACACTCTGATTTGACTACGTACCTTGACCCCTTGGAAGAGTGGCAAGGTTGCATGCGGGTGGCATGGCGGTTGGCGTCAGGCAGCGTTATTGTCGGCACGGCCTTTGGCTCGTGGTACAATGTGCGACGAAATAAAAACTTACTCACTAAACTGTTTAGGTATTTTACCGCCACTTTTTTATTTCGCGAAAATGGAACTGAACGAAATAAATATTATTGCATATTAGTAGCAAAATTTAATGGAACTGTAAATTTTAAAATTTTCAAAATGTCCGCCACGTTCTTTAAAGTACCCAGTGGCAGTAAGACTCTCTAATCGGCTTATCACGGGGCAGCAGCGCCTGCACCTTAACATATTTATAAGGACGTAGTTTGTTACTTTTCAGCACTCGGTGTATTGTTCTATGCCTCACTCTAAACACACGCTCAGCTTGTCTAAGGCTGCAGGTTGGATTCCGATCGAAATGGTCTAAGACTCGTTGTTCGAACGAGGGTGGAAAGTGACGCGGAGCAATTCCTTCATGAGTGTTGGACACTATGCGCTGATTTTCCCTGATTCTTTGGAAAGCACCTAGGATTGTCCGGACGCTAGTAGGGTAGACGCGAGTTGCGTCGTATCTCTCACGATAAGTACGCAGAGTTAACAGTGAATTTTAGCGGCATTCGGCATACAATAAAACCATGTCTGTATACTCAGCCGCACTGTAAAAATGCTGTTTTTTTTGGCATTTTGCGCCAAAAGGCGCGAACACACAAAGGTCAAGTACGTCACGGTCGTATTAAGCCTAAGGGTTTATCGCTTGTATCTTTTAACATTCGCGGGTTGCGAAATAACCTCCCAGAGCTTAAGCTCTTTCTTCGAGATCGCGAAGCCTACCTCCTCCTCCTACAGGAAACTAATATTAAAATTGAGGACATGAAAGGCCATTTCATTCCAAACTTTTCTCTTCTTCGTAATAACAGACCCAACCACCAAGACGGCGGTACGGCCATTTATTGCATGACACTTCATTGCTCTCACATTTCTACTCCGCAGCTTACCAACATGGTAGCCACGGTATGCAGACTAGCTATGACTGGACATCAGTCCATCATCATAGCCTCCATCCTGTTACATCCCCAGTGGAACCCTCCTCCTCAAAAAAGATTTTGAGGCCATCTTATCTCTAGGCAATTCAGTCATTATGTTTGGAGATTTTAACTCCAAGCATACTGAATGGACCTGCCGTACTACCTCTCAAAGTGGCAAGAAACTGCTTGATATCACGCAGTCTCTATGTTACCGTCCATAGTCCCCTCGGTGTCACTCATTATCCCGATAACACCGACCACACTCCAGATGTGCTAGACTTTGCGTTAGTCGAAGGAGTTTCCCTCAATCTCAGGGCAATCGAGACACTATCTCCCTCATTCTTGGCCATCAGCCACCTCCCCCAACACCCTCCACAAAAATCTTCACTAACTGGAAGGGCTTCAAGGAGTCCCTAGCTAAGGCTATGGACTCACAATACTCCCCTACCTCCTTCTCGTCGGACTTCGATAGAAAATCGATACCGCGGTCGATTAACTCTCCACCTTAATAAAATCCTCCTTTAAGGAGAATTAAAGGGCCGTCCCGGTTGCTAATAATGATAGTCTTTCTCTACATATTAGCAACCAATTGAAAGCCAAGAGAGCTGCTTTCCGGAGAGCAGCAATCTATCTCACCCCCGAATATAGGCGTACGGCCAATCGTCTTCAACGAGAAGTCTGCCGCCGGAACTTACCCTCCACAGCATCTGACCCTATCACTGTGTCCAATGATAAGATTTCATCCCTCATCAAAGGAATTAAGCCCAGAAAGTCTCCGGGCGCGGATGGCATCTTAGCCAATCCAAGCCCTTAAACAATTTCCTTAGCAGGTGTTAACCCTTTGGTTACCGAGTTTCCGAGCGAAACATTCTTATCCCCAACAAGTTCACCGTATTGTGGAATATATCCTTAGCGGTTTTTATTCTCGTCGTCATAAGACCATCGCGGTATTTTTCGACATTGCCAAAGCATTTGATAGAGTCTGGCATGAAGGCCTTATCTATAAACTATACAAAATAGGTCTCCCTGATCGTCTTGTACATCTCGTGGCCTCTTACATGAAGGATCGTACCTTTCGTTTTAGACACGAAGGCACGCTCTCCTCTCAGCACCCCATCAAAGCTGGTGTCCCTCAGGGCTCAGTACTTGCTCCTCTTCGGTATATCCTGTTCACCAACGACATTCCCATTCCGTTGAAATGTGTACAGCTCTCCCTCTTCGCAGACGACACTGCTCTCTATTGTAAAGGAATCTCGCTACCTTTCATACGGAACAAAATCCAAAAGTCAGTTGATTACCTAGGAGCTTGGTTCCAAAAATGGATCATCGATGTGAACCCGGAGAACAGCACCGACGTTCACTTCGATTATAAACGACGCCGCCTCAAAAACACTCCACCAATACGTATGCTAGGGACCCCTGTCCCCTGGCATTCGTCTGCCAAATATATAGGCGTCATCCTTGACACGAGGCTCACCTTCGGGCCCCATGTCAAAAGAGTAACCCGACGCGCACGTTTTTATTTGAGTAGGCTCAAAAGTATGCTGGGCCACAGTAAAATGTCCTTCCGAAACAAGCGACCCCTTTATAAGATCTGTATACGACCAGTCATGTCTTACGTGGGCCCTATATTTGCTCACGCTGACCCCAAAATCATAAATGTATTCCAAATTGTTCAAAACCCCTTCTCTCGTCGAGCTACGAACGCACTCTGGTACATCCGTAACGCTGACCTCCATCGGGACTTAGAGCTCTTTCCCTATTTTTTTTTTCGAGATTCTTTCCCTACAATCCAACAATTTCTAAAAACACTCTGAGAACTTCTTCGAAGCCTCAGAGTCTCACTCCAATCGTTTTATTCGTGAGGCAGCTAGTTATACAGCCCTACTCCCCTCTTGCTTTCGAGTGCGCAGGCCGAGAAACTCCCTCTCGAACCCGCCAAATAAACTTTCAACCGACCTGAACTGCCTCCTGGCGGCTCAGGCCGACTCTTCTTAAATTTGCCTTAGTAGGCTCTCCCTCAGTGGCTCGTAGCCGCCTGCGCTCTCTTTTCCCAAAAGAGGGTCGCTTCCGATTCGGCAGAAAGGCCTAATAAACCAACGCCGTACCTAAGAGTGGAGTTTAGTGAGTAAACTTAGGGTTTAGATAGTGTAGTCACAGTGAGTCTACATAACCACGACAGCCGGCTGTCGTGGTATGCATAAAATATTCTTTATCATCATCATTAATCGGTGGCAATACTATCTTCTGTTTACTATTAACATTTTCTTTATCATAAAACAATATGCATTATAAAAATTGAGAAAATCCTTGAAATAATAAAGTTTGAAAAAATGTAATACAAATATAAATTATTTCTTTGGTTATGTAATGAAAGTCAGGAGTTTCAAATTAATATCTATATCTATATAATAAATAAATTTGAAGCATCGGATTGCAATATCAACATAACAGATTCTTACAAAACGCATAATATGAAAGTAAAGACGGTAGGAACTGAAGACAAAAACACATTTTTTTTAAATTTTTGTATGTCTGTCTTTCTGTTTGTTCCAGCTAATCTACAAAATAGCTGAACCGATTTAGACGTAATTTTCATTGGCAGATGGCTGATGTTATAAGGAGTAACTTAGGCCACTTTTATTTTAGAAAACGAATTAAAGTACCGCGTAAAAAATTACAACCTATAAAATCCAATCGTTATAAATTACACGCGGGCGAAGTGCAATGTGGCGCCGCAGTCGTCGCGCCAGAAGCGTAACACATCGAAGTCTAAATCGCGCTATCAAAGTTCCAAAGTTAAAAGCGGGAGATATCCCCTTTTCCTTTCACCCGCCACAGTGGTGACCCCGACGTGATATGAACACGCAACCAACAAACTTTCGGAAACTACAACTCCAAACCTTCATCATCATCCTCCAGTACCCTATTCATTCGCTCCCGAGCAGATATCGTCTGCAGTCTTCACATTCTGCAAGCCATCTAGCTTTACAAAGGTTCATCGCAGCACTGGAATAAGAATGCTTCTTGTTCATTCAAGCTACTCTCTGCGCTACAGTGTTCGGCACAGCTCTGAGCCTTACTGCACGCTTCTGCTTCACGGCACTCTCGCAGATTCTTCTTCTCGACTCACCGTAAACTACATGGCAATCCCTGGCACTTGCTCCAGCTCATCGTTCTCACCGGCATCACTTGCAAGTGTGTAGTACGGCATGCATTACACACCGGCATATCGTTAGCACCGCCGTCACTTGCCCTTACGCACACAGCATGCATTCCCCACCGGCATTAAGGACGCACCGGCAATTGGACTGCACTATCCACCTCCAGTCTGAGCAGGAAGGTGATATAATGGCGCTGTCGTTGTGCCACAAGCGAAACACATCGAAGCCTAAATCGCGCTTACAAAGTTCCGAAGTTAAAAACAGTATATATAGAATAGCTCCGAACTACCACGCGGAGCGTTAGCCGCTCCCCGGGCAGAACACCTTACCCGCGGGAGATCTCCCCTTTTCCTTCCACCCGCCATATGCAATATTGCAATATTCAGTTGTTTAGTCAGTTTTTTAGTTTTAGCAGTTGACACTGTTCAGTTCATTTTTTAATATTCGGGAATAAGATGATTTATAAAAATTTTCCCATCCGTAGAAGAACATAGATTATTAGTATTAAAAGTTCTTAAAAAATTCAAAGCTATGAATGAAGCATGTTAAAAATAACCTTTAAATCCGGAGGATAACGACAGATTTTCAATAATTCAGACTACATTATTTTACATCTTATTAAAGAACATTATTTTGCATCATTTGATTAGGTACTATTTTTGAGATTAGATTAAAATGCTGATTCAATGCCACCACTGAATAAATTCGTAACTACTGATTGACTGATGTGTAATTTTAATAAAATAAGACTAAGTGTTACTCGACGATAATATTTATGATATTTGTCAATGATTTATTGAAAAAAAAAATGTAATTTAGACGAGATGCGTTCATGAAAGCATAGATAGACAAAGGTATAGACAATTAAAAAAAGAAATGGAACTGTAATTAAATTACTTATATTTTGTCAATCTCAATATTTTTGTCATAAAAATACACAATTCAATTATTTTACATACATATACGTTTTTTATTATTGTGTATTTATTTTTATATTAATGATTTTTGTAGAAACTATTCCCATTTTAATAACTTTCCAATACTTACTCATTTGTCTGTAAACTCAAAGAGAACTATCTTACACCAATGTAATTAGAAACAATACGGTATTTCTTTGTTTCAAACAGCCAAAGGCAGTAATAATAAAATATTTTATTTCTCACACAAACACATGTAATGGTAGATATTTTATTTATTTATTTTACAATTTATTTGCACACAAACAACTGAAAGGACACAACAAGATAAAAAGTTTTAACAAGGCCGCTACTCATCTCGTAATGAAATTTTTTCCAGTTACAAAAATATGCGATAAATAAAAGATGTGCACTTTGTTATACAAAACATACAAAAAAAAAATACATTTATAGACAAACACAAGTTAAAGTTAAATATATATAAATAATAAAAGTATAGTAAATATCAAAGATGAAACTTACTTAGAAGTAGAGATAGTTAATGTTCTTTTACACGTTTTTTGAACATTTTCACTGTTTTGATTTCTCGAATGGGAAGAGGAAGTGAATTCCAGAGTCTTACAGAGAATGAACGGGATAGTGTACAGAGAATAAACGGGAATATGAATTAGCTTTAAAGGAACGAAATTTTAAGAGGGTTTCATCGTGAGATCTACAAACTGCACCTGGGGATTTAATAAAAGGTGAATCGATTTTGGACTGTGTAATATGTAAAAAAGAAGACAAAGGATACGAGTGTTTCAGCGAAATCGGATCGACAGCACTTGAGCTGCTTTCTGTATTTAGAGACGTGGTCAAACTACTTGAGTCCAAAAATATACTAAATGCAAATGTTTTCCAATCGCTCAAATTTGTTTAATTGCTCCTCTGTAGCATCCGAAAAACAGATATCAGCGTTTTACATGTTAAGAGTAGGTTGAATATAGTAGGTTTGCTTAAAATTGATGCCTGAGGTAGGTAAAAAATATATACGTGTGCGTCACCAAGAATTTCTAACGTAACCTTTGTAAATACTTGCTATACAACCTCATAAATATTATTTGACCGTAATAAAATAGAACAAGATAGTCTTCACCATGAAAATAAAAATAAATATTTTGATTATTTTTGTAATATCTGAACAGCCACGTCAGCGCACAAACCAGATCCGTCTAGAGACGCTATATTTCAGCGAGCACTGTTAAATTCAATAGAAGTGACAGGAAAAACGCTACTTGGCAGAGAAGGGCAAAATAAATTATTAAAATTAAAGTTAAATCACTTTATTAAAAATCAAAATAGCCCAATAGCTTTATTAACATCTGACACATAATTGTACTTATTATACTCAAAATTATTTTATGGAAATCTGAGAAAGTTGAAAATTTAAGTGTTTTCAGAAGCTACTATGCAATTATTTTCTATTGAGTGCATTTTGTGCTACCGCTACCTGAAATACGCTCAATTGTAAGTACAATTTTTGTCAATAACGATGTAAAATCATGTAGATAATTGTGGCTCTATTCAGCCTCTTAATATGGACATACCTCAGAATTCAGAAATTTTTAAAGTTTTCATGTCCAGCTAATGGAAAATATAATATTATATTATTATTGTCCCGTGTGTTACCTTTATTCTTATATACATATTCCCATCATACGTAAAACATTTTTAAGGGTGGTTAGAAAAATTAT